CCTCAATGTGCATCCACTTAGCTATAAATGTCTCTAATTTCTCATTTTTTATGGCTGAGTAGTACTCCATTTTATAAAAATACCACATTTTCTTGATCCAGTCTCCAGTTGACGGGCATTTGGGCTGTTTTGGTTGATTCTTAATAGCAGCCACTCTTTCTGGGGTGAGGTGGAATCTCAGTGTTGTTTTCATCTGCATCTCTTGAAATGACCAGTGATGTTGAACATTTTTTCATATGTTTATTGGCTGCTTTTACTTCTTTGTCTGAGAAATGTCTGTTCATTTCAGATGCCCATTTTTGAATTGGGTCTTTTGAATTTGGGGGCTCTGTTTTTTTTAGTTCTTTATATATTCTAGATAGTAGTCCTTTGAGGAACAGCTGCTAAAATTTTTTCCCACATTGTAGGTTGTCTCTTAGCTCTCTTGGTGGTTTCTCTTGCTGCGCAGAAAGAAGCTTTTTAATAAGATGAGATCCCCGTTGTTGATTCTCTGTGCTAGTTCCCATGTGTGACATTTTGGGTTAGTGTTAGTTTCAGGCATTTTTAAGCTTGGCTTTATCTTATTCTGTCTGTGGCTTGATTGTTGATGTTGCTGGTATGAATGAGGATTTTTCCTCTCCATTTAAACTTCCACTTTTTTTGTCTTAGTGCAGTTGCTCTTGGTTTCACTTTGTGGCTTATCCAGTAAGTCATGCTTTGCTGATGGTTTCTCCGTATTCCTCATTCTACTTAGAGTACAGTATTTGTACTTTTTTCTGCATTAATTTTATTGTTTACTTGCTGGTTGGGGAGTGGCATTTTAAACCATGGGAATGGATTAGTCTTCGATTTGTGATTTTTTTGTTTGTTTGTTTGTTTTTTTTTTTTTTTTTGGTACTGGGGATGGAATTCAGGTCCTTGCACTTGTGCAGCAGGCAGCAAAACCACTGAGCTAAATCCCCGGCCTGATTTGTAATTTGTAATAGGAGCAGGTGTTGAATTTCATTGGAGTGTTTAGGGGATTAATTTAGGTGTTCAGTTTGGTTTTAGTTATTTGTATATTTTCTAATAATAAATTATTCTTGGTGTAATATTAAATCTCACTCCCTGATTTTGTGTTTAGAATATTCTCATTGGTGAGTATAGTTTCTTTGGGGTAGCCTGTGTTGTGTTCTATGAGTTAAACTGGCTTCCTAAAAATTTATTTAGTAATTTTCTATGAGTTTATGTGTTCTGGAACATTTTATATAGCTTTGGGATTGGTTATTTCTTGAATATATGAGAGAATTCACTTCAAATTATGTCATGAAGATTTCTTAGGGATATAAGGCCATGAGTGATCATTTTCCTGAAAGGTTTATTTCTTGGCCTTTTTTTGGGGGGGCGGGGATCAAACTTAGGTCCTTGCGCTTGTGCAGCAGGCAGCAAAACCACTGAGCTAAATCCCTGGCCCAATTTCTTGCTTTTTGATACTGTGAATATTTTACTTGAGCTAATTTCTGTAATTTACATTCTTACTCATTCCACACGGCATGTGCTATTGTGCACTTTAAGCATCTGTGTCTTTGGTTAGATCCTTTTTTCATTACTAATTTTATTTGTTAAGTTTGCTTTTTTGTCACATTTCTTAAAATTTTTGTTTTCTTGTTTTCTGTTTTTTTTGGTACCAGGGATCGAACTCGGGACCTTGCGCTTTCGAGGCAGGCGCCGGAACCACTGAGCTAAATCCCTGGCCCAAATTTTTGTTTTCTTTAGAACCAGTTCTTAGATTAATGATCAGTTCCACTTTTCTGTTTGCTGACTAGTTTCTATGTTTATTTTTTGTTTTTTTTTTAAACTTTTAGAATGTGAACAGAAAGGCACTAGAATTCAGGGTTCCTTACATTCTCATTAATATGCATATATATGTGATTTAAAAATGTAAGTAAGCAAACCAATAAATTATAAAGAAAAAAGTCATAAAGACCAGAAAAACAACAAATGAGACGTTCGCCCTGGGGAGGGGGGCCTTTGCTGTGGGCTGGTGCCCTCACGCTGCGTGGGCACCTTTGGGGAGGGCAGTGCCAGCCTGCTGTGCTGCTGTGTGTGCACCCAGCAGGACTGGCAGCTCGAGACGTTCTTGTTCATTGTGGGGGATTGCAGGGATTGTCTGTCCAGAAGTCAGGCCTTACCCTGGCCACATCCGCAAGAACAATTGGAAAAGGTGCGAGTTTTAGAAAAACTTGCTTTTCCTCTTTTTTAGCAGCCCCATTTCATGGCAAACTCTGTCCTGGTCCCTGAAGAGCATAGGGAATGAATAAAATAATGTGTCCTGTGCCTTGAGAGACTTTGCAGCCTCTCAGATGGGAAGGGACATCATGGTGCCCATGATGAGTAGCTAGCAAAGGTGCAGCTGCGGTGGGAGTGGTGAGAAAGCAGCACTCTTGGCCTGGAGGAGTGAGTGGATGAGGAGGACAGGGCCTCTGCAGACAGGGACGTGGGAGATCAGCGAGGCAGAAGG